AACTTCACACAGGGTGGGTGCTGTAGTGGACACAGCTCCTCTGGGTATGTTAGGAGCACGGCCTGTCCTGGGCTGTACTCTCCCCTCTGCCACAAGCCACAGGAGGCAGGAGGTCCTGCTTGCCCACAGGCTGGGTGTGGGCTGAGTTCGTCCTTCGTCTCCTGTGTTAACCCCTGCAGGGATTGTGTGCACACCCTGCACTCCAGGGACACATGGCTGAAACAGGCAAGAGTGGTGCGGCTCGGCGAGGTGCCCTACAAGGTAACGGCACTGCAGCTGGGTGGCAGGCTGGGGCAGGGAGGGTGGCAGGGAGGGTGGCAGGGCCGCACGCCAGTGATGGGAAGCCAGAAATGCCTTGCTTTGGTTTAAGCAGGATTTGAGGAGCCAAGCATTTAAATGATCTTATGAATGAAGGACTTGTAGAAATGTTTCTCCTGAAACATGCAAATGAAGACTAGAGTTAACCTTCAGTCTCTACTGTGAGCAGGTGGCACTGTTGTACTTGGTGGCTGGGAGAGGCTCATGCCTACTATACTGACACACCTCAAGCAGGTGCTCCCATGTCCCCATTCATTTGCATGTGCCTGGAATCATGATGCAGATCAGAGTTCAGGAAGGGAAAATGATCATCCAGGCCTCTGTGGCAGAGCCCAGCAGGCATTCCTCCCCACCATGGTGCTGCAGCCTGTAAGGTCGGCAGCCCACGAGACTTCAGCTGTGCCACACACATTTCCCAGGTCCCTAGGCTCAGTCAAGCCAGCAGGGTGGTGACTGGTCCCAGAGATGTGTGTCCTCTCATCTGGGGCTGTGTGGCACTGGGGAGCTAGGGAGCAGAAGGCCTCAGTCTGGGAGGCGGGCAGTGCCAAGAGTGTGGTGCCACCTGCTGCACCCTGAGACTCACCCCTCCACATCTTCGCCAGCCACTCTGCATTGTGCAGCGAGCGCCACACTCAGGAGATCTCATCATCTAGGCATTGTAGTTCTGTCCTATCCAGAATGTTAGGACTCAGCATGTAGGAAGTGTTGTAAAAGGTGACTGAGGTAGTTTTAAATATGTTTGCTCATATTAAATACTTGTGATCCTGTCTGCATGTGGCTGTCAGTACCTCAGTGCGCATTGGTTATGCTGCCCACTAGTCAGCCCCATGTGCCTGCAGCTGTTGTCACAGACACCGCTAGAATAACCCATTGCTCAGATCCATCCTTTGTCGTGACTCCCATTGTCCTGGCTAGATAACAGCCCGGCGCCCCTTCCTGCATGTCTGTTCCCCTACTGCAGTTGTGCTGATTCTCTGACACCACCTGCATAGCCTGCCCTGCCCCTGCTGTGCCTGCACTTGCCCTGCTGCTGTAGACGGCAGACTGCAGGCCATGCACATCCTCCACATGGGGCGCTAGCAGGGCTGGAGCGCCTGCCTTCTGCATGCCAGGCTGTGTCTATCTGGTGCTCCTCACACCTCCTCCTGTCTGTCACTCATGGCTGGCATGGTATGGTGTGTATGAGGCACTCAGTAGATGAGGGGTTCCTCAGAACCTGGCTCCCCGACCTGATAGCTCACAGGTGCCTCCCAACCAGGTCCTGCTGCCCTGGGACTCTGATCTGATCCCAGAGTGGGCTAATATGAAAAGGTTGTATGGAGGCAAAGAATACAGACTACGACAGAGTCTCCCTGCCACCCATTACCAGGAAAGCTTCCTGACCCTTGCAGTGGAGGAATCTTGTAACAGGCCCAGTTACCGGGCTGCAGCCTCCACACTTGCTGGGGAGCAAGCTGGGGTCCTAGGCATATGGGGTTGGTGGGAGAGACTGGCTCTCCAGTGGGACAGCCAGGTGGTGCCTAGGCATGAATTCTGGCTCTGTCACGTGCAGGTCTTGATTCCTTGAGTGTGTGACCACTGGATCCACCTTTGTCCCTTAGCATTGAGCATACCTGCTTGACAGGCTGTGACTCCAGGGTGGTCTTCACCCCGTGCGGTTCACCTGACGCTTGGGTTTGTTGAAAACAGCACCCTATCATTGTGTGTTGGCCAGTGCTGGAGACCGTAGTGGGCAAGTGCCGCCCCTCTCACAGGCATGTCACCAGGATTGAATGAAGTGCTCAGGTCTGGTGACATGGGTGTCAGGACCCTGAGCCTCCTGGTGAGCTGTGGCTGTGTACTTGGGCAGATGGTGAAAGGCTATTCCAACCGTGCCCGCAAAGCCCGGCTCGCTGACCCCCAACTGCAAAACCAGAATGACCTGGGCCTGTTTGGCCACTGGCAGACAGAGGAGTACCAGCCTCCTGTGGCTGTGGACGGAAAGGTAGGACACGTTGGATTGGTAGGGACTGGGCCCACTTGCCCAGCTGGCCACATCCCACTGTCCCTCTCAGGTGCCACGGAACGAGTTCGGGAACGTGTATCTTTTCCTGCCCAGCATGATGCCCGTCGGCTGTGTGCAGCTGCACCTGCCCAATCTGCATCGTGTGGCCCGCAAGCTGGATATCGACTGTGCCCCGGCCGTCACAGGCTTCGACTTCCATGGTGGCTACTGCCATGCTGTGTGCGTGAGGGCTGGGGCCTTGGCTCCTGTGTCAAGGCCTGACTGATCTGAAAACAGGCTTCTAAGAAGTAAAGGCAGCTATAGCCCTTATCCAACCTTGGCTCCCATCCAGGGTCATAACAGTAGTGAAGTCGATGCCCTAGGAACACTGGATGCAAACTCTTCTTGGGTAGTCACAGATGGTGACCAAAGTAGGGACCGTGTCTTTCCTGATTCCTAAGTTGTCCTTTGGGGCAGCACTGAAGACGAAGCCTGTCTGGTGCTCAGGCATGCTGGGTAGGAGAGGTGGCATTGGGCCCCCTAAGCCTGCTCCTGCCAGGTTGGCTGTCCTCAGTCTGCCCAATATACCCACGAGGACACCCGAGTGCTCAGAAGGGGCCCTTGTCCCAAGGAGGGGAGGGTTGGACAAGCAAGCAGCAGACTTAGCCGAGATTGTGTCATGCCTCACAGAACCGATGGCTACGTTGTCTGCGAGGAGTTCAGAGATGTGCTTCTCACTGCCTGGGAGAATGAGCAGGCCCTCATTGAGAAGAAGGAGAAGGAGGTGAATGATGGGGAGTAGCTGGGAGGACGGAGCTGGCGTGTGATCGGGAGAGGAGGAGGGTGGGCTGGGTGGACCCAGGGATGTGCTTCCCTCCCTGGCCACGTCCACCAGGGAGAAGAGGAGGCAGAGACCATGTGCCCTGCAGTCTCCCCAAACCCCCCATACCGGCCTCCTGGATAGCCCACCCCTCCATGGTCACTGTGCCCTGCCGGCCTGGGTCTCCACTCCAGGGACTGCAGCCCCAGGTCTTTCCTTCTTTAGTCCAGGTCCTAGATTACCCCATCCACTAAAAATAGGTTTTATATTAGTGGCTTTGAAGTATTTTCTAAGCCATCATTTTTTAAAAATGCGATGTGTGACCAAGACCTTATCTTCCCACCTGAATCTGCGTGGCTGTCTGTACTCATTTTTAGGCTCCATCCTGGTAATTTCTGATGACACCAGTGCTTAACATGTCGTCCTTTTTTCCTGCTGCAGAGACGTGAGAAGCGGGCCCTGGGGAATTGGAAACTGCTGGCCCGGGGACTGCTTATCAGGGAGAAGCTGCGGATGCGTTATGGTGCCCAGGTCAGTGTGCAGCCTTCACAGAGGAACAGGTCTGGGACAGTCACTGCCCAATTTTTGCTGACAGCAAGGTGAAGATAGCTTCACTCTTAGCTCCAGGCTCCCTGTGCCTGCAGCCACTTTCAGGCCTTGTGTACCTCTTTGGGTCACCTCTCACAGCACCTGTATGTAGCAGGCCAGGCTGCACACACAGGTATAAGTGTGACAGCCCTCAAGGGATCCCATCCAGGACTGGCAGGTCCCAAGGCAGTTATGTGGACCCCAGCAGAAGTGCCCTGTGATATTCTGGCCCTGCCTCAACCCAGTCTGCCTGTTCTTAGGAAATATTTGTGAACTCTTCACTGAAAGCCCGAGTCTGGCTTTATGTCTCATGGGCTTCTGGCCACCATATGCTGTGACTACCCAGCTGTCTGTGCCTTCAGGGGTGCTACCCTCAGGTCCTTTAGTACTTACTGTGTGTCGGGGCAGTCCCAGACATAATCACTGTGCCTACACCTGAGGTTGGCCGCAGTGGCTGGGAACTTGGCAGCTTCTGGAAGGCGCTACCTGGTGATTGTGTCTCTCTTGCCTGGCCCCTCCAGAGCGATGCAGCAGCTCCACACATGGGTGCAGGAGGTGGGCTGTCGGACGACGAGGAGGGGACCAGCTCGCAAGCAGAGGTGGCCAGTGTCCTGGCTGCCTCTTGGCCTCAGAACCGAGAAGCTGAGGAAGAGCAGAAGCCAGAGTGCCCAAGGAAGACCAGAAAGGCAAAGAAAGAGGCCGCCAGCCACTTGTTCCCATTTGAGAAGTTGTGACCTGTGTGCCTGCTTCTGGATGGTGGACGGATGTGGGCCAGGCTGAGGTCACACTGCAGCTGGGTCCCCGTAGGGCTGCTCACCAAAGCCCTCTGGGGACACTGTCCTGGGAACCCTGTTCTTCCCATCTTTGGCGGTAAGGTCAGCTCATTTTAATAGAAAGCACTAGGAAATTTGCAGGTAGAGGTACACCTGCTGTCCCCACCCACCAGACCCTGTGCCCGGGCCTCACTTGGGGCTTAGGATCCTTCTCTGCAGGCCATTTCATCCCCGGGTCAGGTTCTTGCTGCTGAGCAGTGCCTCTTTGTAGAAGGCGGGAAAGTAGAAAGAAGTACAGGCCACTTGAGATCATGGCATTGTGATTGTTTCCCAAAGTCATGTTTTGTCGTGGCAGAAGAATAGAACAAAGAGCTAACACAGGAAAGAAAAATAATCATTGAGCATTAAAGAAGTGTTAGTAAAAGTGAATCAGTGTTCAAGTAGATTTTACTAATTATGGCATACATTTACAAAACTCTTATGTGCTCTGTGTTCAAGAGAAATAACTTTTATAACATTTTGAGAAAAAAATAAAGCATTTATCTAAAGACTTGCCTCTACATTTTTTAAAAAATAAATTTTATTTTATTCCACTTCCCCCCAAGGCCCCTCCCCTCCGTATGCACAAAAGCTTTGTTTCCATTTTTCCTTCTATTTTCACTTTTTTTCTCAACCCACCTTGCTTTCTCCCTCCCTCCTCCCTTGTTCCCTTCCCATTTGAACATTTTCTTCCCATTTCCCAATAATATCTGTTATATACTTCTTCCACTTTTCGTTTCACACCAGAGAAACAATGTGGCACTCAAACACGTCTGACTTATTTCACATAGGAATATGGAGTTTCAGATTTTACCAAGACCACCACCAAGAGCATGTTGATAGGGAAGATGAGGTTTTGTTTTCATGTGAGCTGGGAGCTCATACACCTGAAGTTTTTTTTTTCTTAAGATGTTAATCTTTGAAAGGAGTCCTTAACTACATTGAGTCACTTTTATCCAAGGGACACAAACAAAACCCTGGGTGTGACTCAGCGGCGGGAGCACTGCTGGCTGTGTGGTGGAGAAACAGGCCGGGTTGCTATGGAGACCGCATTTCCACACTTAGCATGCCTGAGCTGCCTGCTGGGGGTGGGCGCTTGTGTTGTTCCCAGATGAGAAGGCTACTGCCCTGTCTGGAGAAATGACCTCTTCAGCAGGGTCAGCTTCTGGGAGGTATTATGGAGATGAAATGGAGCGGGTCTCTCTTGAGAAACTCAGGAGTAGGCTTCAGAAAAGTTCCCCCATGCCTGTAGCTCAAGCAAGTAATGTAACTGCTGGCATCAGAGTGGACAGCAGCAGCCCCTACTTCCTGACCACTGAAGCAACAGGGGTGGAAGTGTCGGGCATCTTGTAGGCTTAATCTTTAGTCTTCACCATCTCATGAGGTAGGCATTGCCCCCAATTTAGAAATGAAACTGAGACCGGGAGAACTCTGATTTGCCAGACACCGTGAGAATCTGGCCAGTGTGGGACTTGAAACATGTCTGCCATCCCCGAACCAGCCCCTCTGCCCCTGCCTCTCGGAGCACTCGAAAGGTGCCTGGAGCATGAGTCATGCACTGTCAACAGCCACAACCAGCAGGCTCCTCAGTGCCCGGGATGCTCGGTGTCATTAATAAAGGAACTGACACCTGCCTTAATCTTGCAGAGCAACTCAGAAGTGAGTACAGATTCAAACACTTCTCAATAAAGTTGATGGGCCCACCGAAACCAGGATAATGGTAAACTCATACCAAGAGATACTGAAAATTTATTTTGCACTTTTATAAAAATACAAAGATAATACAAATTTCGTGGTGGTTTCCCAAAGCCTTCAAATTACTCTTAACACTGTTTTGCTGCATTTTTAAAATTGGCAGTTTAAATCCATGAGAAAATTTTTTTTTCATGTTTAGTCATCATCTACTTGTACTGCCTATTATCCAAAAGCATCCACTGAGTTTAGTGATTTGCTGAGCAGTCGTGGATAGTATTTCTATTTCAGTCCTATGCCTAGATAAGTCCCCTTGGGTGCTGGATGTAACCAAGAATCCCTGTGCACAGCGCAGACAACCGGACAGGGAGAGTTCTGCAGATCACCCCCCTTAGAGGTCCTCCCAGGGAAGCCACCAAAAGCTTGCTTGCCAAAGCAACCACTCCCACAACTTTCTAGCATAAACATACGGTTAAGGCAACAAGTTTACAACCTATTTTAAGAGGGAACTGAAAAGCTTGGGAACTGTAAATTGAGTGTGGGTTTTATTTAGAACAAGTGAAGAGATGGACGCTAAGCACCCCAAAGAATCATGCAGAAGCAGCACTCAAAGCCCAGCACTCCCAGGATGAAAGGGATGGAAGGCAGCTGGCTTCCTGCACCCGCCCTGTCTTGCTCTTGGATGTGGCTGGCTGGGTCAGCACAGAGGAGCACACTTGGTACAGAGCTTCCAGCCCCTTCCTGGGATGGCTGACTGCAAGCTCAAACCATCATCAGGAGCAGGGAAAGCAAATTCCTTTGCTGACACTTGTTCCAAAGCTGCTCAAAGCTTCGTACCACTTTCACTTCAGCTGAGTCACACCCAGTTCAGCAGCTTCCTGTGCTCTGAATTAACCTCAACTGACAGATTCAAGGCGTCATCTGTAACAATCAGACGTCCACTGTTCAAGATGTTTGGTTTTTTAGGTCTACGATGAGTTGGGGTAGAAGTGAAATATCAAAGAGAAAAGGCAGTAAGGCTTTGGAGCTCTCACCCGATGACAGGACCCTGTCCGTCCAGACTAGGGATGTTAAGCCAGCAGACATGCCGTTCTCAGTGACATCCGGAGTGACTGAGAACCGGGTTGGTTTCATCCACAGACCTGGTCTGGGCACACCTACATGCCAGGTGAGTGCTTAGTGTATTTGGTGCCTGCCGAAGGCGGTCCCCTGGGCTGAAGGATGTGACGGGGGCCGTGCAGTGCAGAGTGAGGAGGCCACCCCTGCCATCAACAGGTCTCTGGAGTGTCGCTGCTGTACCCAGACAGTCCCAGGACAGGGGAGGGGACCAGGAGGATGCTGCTTATTGAGTCCACCCTTGAGTTGCCATGCTCACCAAGCCGCTTACAGCAAGAAAGGAGGAGAGGGCAAACCCATGAACACCAAGCCCAATGGGTATACAGCCGGGTTCGCCCCTCAGAAAAGCAGTGGGTGCAGAATCCGAATCCAAGACCGCCCCTGAGGTTCGGGGATGGAGCTGGCGTGGGGTGACCTGTGTCCTTAGGCTCCTACAGGGTTGGCCCACACCAGGGCTTCCCTCACTCCAGCTTTTTGGCAGGCACCCGTGTCCGGGCAATGAGGATGGGCACCAGGGCCAGGCAGCCGAAGAGGAGTGCCCACCAGGGCCGGTAGAAGAGCCAACCGGCGGCCACTGTCAGTAGGGTCAGTGAGGTGGCCATGCAGAAGGCAAAGGCTTTCAGGCCGATGTTGACCAGGTCTCGGAAGATGGGAAACCAGTCCACTGTGAGAAGAGGGGGTGGGGATGAGGCTCCCAGGCCACCACGCTTCACACCTACAGATGGCTCCCACCTCCTGGCTCCCAGGTAAGGGAAGAAGGGGACTGTGGAGGGAAGTGGGCAGCCTTAAACAGACTCCAGAACCCTGAGAAGGAAAAGCCCAGGTCCTGCATGGTATGGCCGAAGGCCTCAAGCTGCCTACTCTGTCCACCCAGGGAGAGACGGAGAGCCATGTAGAACTAAACAGCCTCTCCTGCACGTGTACAGCAGCAGGAGGCCAGGCCTAGGCTGGCCACGGCCTCGTCCGTCCGTCCTGCTCACTGCTTGGCACCAGCTGCAGTGGCACCTGGTGCTCATCGAGGATGAGGATGGAGCAGGATGTGTCCACCTCCTGCTGTGACTTTCCTGCAGGCCAATCCCATGCTGGGAAGAGCTAGGGCACAGATGGCCACATCTGGGGAGGGCATGTGACCGACTAGGACTGAGGCTCCGGAGGATCCAGCCTGCCTCTGCTCCCACGGCCAAGCCCTCCCTGCAGTCTGAGCATAGTGCAGCCAAGCAGAGGAAGCCTGGAACTGCAGGGAGACCCTGAAGCTGAGCGAGGGACTGTGAAGCAAGCAGGGCCTGGCAGGACAGATGTGCAAGTCCAGCTCACCCCCCAAGCTACAGCCTCCTCCCTATGCCTGTTCAGCTGAGGAGGAAGTAGGGAGCAAGAGAACGGATGGACGGAGGGGGGCCCTCTCCACCACGCTGGCTTTCTCTGGTCACTCATCACAGAGGGGTCAAGGTGCCCAGTCTCTGTCCCACGGAGTGGCCGTCAGACTGGTACAGCTCACAGGTCAGGTGGCAGCCCCGGGAGCAGCAGCAAGGTTCCCTCCAGCCCCACTTCCATGCCTACCCAGGGTGTAGAGGATCCGAGTCATGAGGTTGAGGCCCATAAACATGGCCATCCAGCCGGCCGCCCTCAGGCCCCAGGTCTTCATGGAGTTGCTCCTGTGTTCTCTGCGAAACACCTCCTGTAGGGTATGGAGATGGACAGCAGGTGTCCAGTGGGCAGGACAGAGGCTGCGGAGACTGTGCCAGCTCGGGGCCATGGATACTTCTGGACAGGTCAGAGGAGAAGGGCAGCCCCCTCTGCTATCTAAGTCCTTCCATGTGCCAGCTGCTGCACAGTGCGGAAGGGGAGCTCTCTGGGGCAGGTGCCAGCCTCAGCACAGCCCCAGCCATGGCCCCCGGGAGGAGCCCCTCTCACTAGCAGCTGTGCACCTTCCATGCACACAGTGGGGTCCTTTCAGGCTGGTGCTGTCTCCTCCCGCTGCCTGGCCATCCCTTCTCCATGGCCCCTGCTGTCCTACACCCTCCTGGCATCTCAGTGTTTAAGTGCTTTGGCTGCTTCTGTCCACATGACTTGCACCCTGGCACCTGAACTGCCTCTTAGACAACCCATTCAGCATCCTGCACGCCTGGCTCAAAGTAGGGCTCTGCCCACCCTGCTTCCCTGTCTCCTCCCACTCAGCAAGCAGGTCCAGGACCCACGGCCACACAGGTGGGAACCTGGGTCAGCTGCGGCAGGCTCCCCCTACATGCACCCTAACCCCGTCTCATTGGCAGCCAGTGTCACCTCAGCGCCCACATTCTCCAAGCCCATCACACTGTCCACCCAGAATCCATGCTACTGCTGTCCCTCAGGGACCACACGTGGGCTTCCCAGATGGTCACACTGCTGCCTCTGACCTGCTACCTAAACCTGGCCTGCTGGCTATCCATGCTGAGAAGGCAAGGTCCTACCACTGCTGGGCCTCTGCACTGTGCACAGCCCTGCCAGCTGCAGCATGTTCCTCCACCTCAGCTGGAACATCACTTCCTCAGAGCTTCCCCGACACCCTAGTCCAGGGACGGCAAGCCTTTTAGAGCATTCGATGACACAAAGAGCCAATGCGGCACACGTGCCATAGCTTCAGCACCACTGCCCTCTGTCTAACCAGAGGCCCCACCTGCCAAGATCGATACCCATTATAATAAAAATGTACAGCTCTCCGTGCTAAATAGTTGCCTTTCAGTGGGAGTCAAACTCAGGACCTTGCATTTGCCAGGTAGACGTGGCACCACTGAGCTACATCCCTGGCCCCTACCCTATGGGTTTTACATGTCCTTTAGACACTTAATCCTCAGAATAACTTAGTGAGGTTGGAGCACATTCCCATATGAGCAGGAGGCAACCAAGGCTCTGAGAGAACAAAGAAAGTTTGCACCACAAAGAATCAACTCCAGGCTCCGGGAGAGGAACCCGCCTGACATTCCTATGCCAATGCACACTGGCTGAGTGAAGGGGCGAATGCTCCACAGCAGACAGGTAAGGTGGGAATGAGGGTAACCACAGTGAAGCTCTAGAGTTGGGACAGGCTCAGAGGGAGGGATGGAGGGATGGAGGGGCCCTGGGCAGCAGCAGCTCCTCCTGCCCTATGCTGTGCTGTGTCGTGCTGGAATCAGAGCACCCAGATCTCTCTCCTGCGTGTGAGAAGCTGGGATGGCTGACGGGGTGCAGGCACAGGGGCTTCCACTACTAGGCAGCCTGAGGCCCACAATGTGACCACATTCCTATGCCAGGGCTGCCACCTTCCCTCAGCCACAGGTCCCTAACCCATCTCGGGAGCAGCTGGGTCCTGGGACTCTACCCAGGAGGCAGGAAGTCAGGGACTTGGCAGGAGAAAGACCAGGCCTGACCGGCCCTCCTCCTATTCACAAGTCCCTAAGAGACTGAGGCTGGACAGTGGGCACAGCCCGTCCTAGCCAAGAACAGGGAACGGCGGTGCCACAAGCTGGGAGGCCAATGGGGCTGACAACAGGCAGCAGCCCAGCATGTAGTTGCGGGAGGGAGAGGCGACGGCAGACCCTGCCCTGTGCTGGTGCCTCACCCCTGCCACACTCTGGATGTGAGTCCTGCAGTAACACTGTGTCCCAGAAGGAAGGACAGAGCTTATCAGAGAGAGGCTTTGCATCCCCTCCTCTATGCTGGGTGCAATGTGGCAGGAAAGGGACCTGTATGCAGGCTGCTGTCCCGTGGGGCTCCGCCCCCCACTTTCCTTCTCCCACTGCATGGCATGGCTGTCACCTCTCCTGGTCACGCCTCACGAGGAAGGCAAGTAGTGCAACTCACCTCCGCCGAGAAGTCCCCATGGTGCAAGAGCAGCAAGGTCTCCCCCGACCGGGTAGAATAAGGGACGAGCTGGTCACCCCGCTGCCGGGCAATCACTGTGACCTGGCCAGCAAAGGTGTCAGAGCTGAGGGGCGCTCGGGGGGGGCACCTCTCCCCGAGGTCTGTGCTACCTAGGGAAGCAACGAAGAGCCCCAGAATCATCTCCTTTGGGAGGACTCATTAAGAGAATATTCAAGAACCGCACTGAGCATGGAGTCTGTGGCTGGCTGTGGGACTGGGGGCAGCAGACCGACTGCATGTGGCAGCTGCCCCTCCACAGGGAACCCTCAGTGGTCAGCTCCTTCCCAGACACAGGGAGCCCCAGCTGACTTGGTGCCACCGGGGGAAGCCAGGTTACCACATGGGCCGGGCCCAGGTCAGGGTCGTCGCTGCTCAGGCCCGCATAGGAAAAGCAGACGCGCAGGTCTCCCACCTGGGGAACAGAGGGATGGCAGGGTGAGGCGGATGTGCTGGCCTGGCCAAAGCCCCACATTCGTCCTTCCCCTGCCTCCATCTTGCCCACTGTGGTCCAGGAGGCCTGTGCCCCAGTCATCTGGCTGCTGCAGCAGTGCAGGCGTGGCCCGGTGTGGGGACCCTCACATACCTCTGGGTACTTGGGGTTTTCACTGTGGTAGAAAAAGTCCCCTCGACGGATGATGTCCACATGGGGGTCCTCCAGCTTGGACAGGCTGAGTGGCTTGAAGTTGTCGATTTTTTCTATGAGGCCTGAGGGAGGTGGAGTGCTCAGAACCACGGGCCCCTGTATGATCCCCCAATGCGCAGACCTGCAGCCACACACCTTCCAACCTGTCCAAGGGGTTTGGCCACGGGGCTCTCCCACTAGGTGTTCCCCTTCCAGGGCATCCCTGTGCCCCATGCCCATCCATCTGGGCATGGCCTTGGTCCCCTGTTCTGCCCCTCAGATCACAGCCTTCACTGCCATCCTGGACCGGGGGATCCCAGTGGACAGGATGTGGTGGCAAGCAGCACCTCCAAGCAACAGAGGCCATGCAGCAGCCAGGCCAGCCCCAGCCCCTGCCTCCTCCCTCTCCATTGCTATATGGGGCCCCAGGGTCACGGTGGCTGAGGGGCTCCTCTGCACAGAGCTGGGTATAGGTGGGCTCCCCACAGGAACTCAAGGATGAATCCACAGCTCACACACCACAGGCCGGGCCAATTACTAGGTCAGCTTACCTGACGAGAGGAAAAACCTGCCGATCTGGACAAAGGGGGCCATAGCTGTGAAGGACTCCACTGCCATGGCACTGTGGGAGGGAAGAGTCAGGTCAGAACCCCACCCTGGGGCTGCTGTCTGCCTTCCCTGGCTGGGCCGCTCACTCTGTCCCTGTCTCCCAATGTTTCAGCCCCTCCTGCCCACATCCGACAGCCTGTCCCACACCACTAGCCCCCAGATGGGTCTCCCATGGACTTGACACCCTCATGGCCCCTTGCGGCCTAACCTGACCACCGCTGCATGTGGTTGGGCTCACCGTCACTCTGCCACTCTGAGAAGGCCCAGGCCAGATGTTTCCTGCCTCCAGGAAGCCCTTCCTGGTCGCCCTCCCATCAGACTAACCGGCAGCAAAATGCTTCCAGGTCACGGTACATGAAAAGTCCCCCCAGGACCTCTGCCCACACCTTGAGTTGGCAGCTTTGTTGAGTGGACCTTGTCTGGAGTTGGCAAGGGTCAGGCCTTGCTTTCTGTTCCCAGTGCCCAGCACGGGCTTGGTCTCAAAGCTATGTCCCATATCATCCCCTGGGAGGCAGAGTCAACTCAGTCCCATACTCAGACGTGGGTATGGAGGATGGGACCAGCCAGCAGCAGGCAAGGCCTGCACGCACCTGGGGTTTTTATGGCCAATCTCCCTGTCGAAGTTCCTGCTGTTGACGATGTCTGATCGCCACTCGGTATCTGTAAGGACAGGGCAGCTCAGAGCTCGGGCACATGTGGCTGGGTGGGCAGCCTGGGGGCAGGGTATTGCCTGGGGAATCCACCCTGGTACATAGCCACCCCCCAGCCTCACAGGTGGGGCGTGTACCGACAGGCTGTACTCACTGTAGGAGTACCGCGTCTCCTTCTTCACCTGTCCATCCTCGCTGTACTCCCTGTAGTGGGGGCACAGACAGCCGCTATGTTAGCCTGGCTTGCAGAAGTGGCTCTAGACAGAAGCTACCCCAGGGCAGAGGAGCCCACGTTCCCACAAAGATCAGCAGCTGGATCCAGGAGCTCTCTCCCACACAGCTGCTCTGGCCTTTCTCAACCCGAGGTGACATCCATGCAATCCAGGACTCTGGGCTTGAGTCACCCTGCACCCTCTGTGCTATGAAGGCCCTGAGAAGCCCAAAGCTGCCTTTTCCTGGCTCCCTGCCTCACCCATCCAGTCCCAGGCTTCAGGTGACTGCCCCGGTACCAGGAATAGGATGTAAGGGAGCCACCCTTCCTGCTCTGGGAGCAATGGCAGTGGAGGGCACAATGGCCCGGATGACACTGTCTGAGGCCTGGACCCAGCCATGCCTCAGCTTTGTGCAGCTCTAGAGGGAGAGCACTAATCCTCCTTTCTCTGAGACACTCTGCCACTCTGCATTGGACTTTTGCCACCTCCTAGTTAAAAATCACTGGCTGTGAACTTTGGAAGACCTGGACAATTTGAGAGCAAGATTCTGTGCTCTGCATTCCAGAGTGACAAGATGACCCCAACACTGCTTCTCCAGCGCCTGCCTCACCTGGACTCCTCGGTCTCCACCCACTGGTACATCTCAACGTGCCTCCGCAGCTTCACGGCCGGAAGATGCACCCCATAGTTTGGGTCAGACAAGAGCTTTGCAAAGAATGCAACAGAACACAAAAGTCAAGGCAAGGCTGTTGTGGGTCCAGAACCCCCAGCTTAGGAAAGTCAGACCGGGCCAGATATAAAGAGGAGAAGAATAGAGGGCCTCAGAGCTACTTCCAGTGGGAGAGCCAAGCGAGGCTGCCTGCCCTGCATTCCCAGCACCTAACACAGTGACCTCAGAGGAGGACCAGGTGCAGGGCCCAGAAGCAGGCCAAGAGCAGTGCAACAGTGTCCAAGTCCCCCCAGGCCCCACCACGCTGCTCCCAAGAGAGCAACTGTTGGGGGAAAGGCTCACCGCAGGCCGGCGCAGCGCACAGGTGTGCAATCTAATCCCATTCAGCCCTCACGGTGGCCACCCGAGTGTCACCCCGTCGTCCCCTGCTTTCCAACAGAGGCTGCCCAACCCAAGCCCCAGCGGCTGCCAGCACTGCCACGCCTACCTTGGATGTCCGCAGCGCCCCGATAATGTGCACCAGCCTGCCCTCGTTCTCGGGGGCCACGCTGTGGATGCTGTCCGGGGACACCACCAGTGACAGCCCTTCCGCCAGCGAGGTTGCCGTCTTCAGCGCACGGCCCTGAGCGGGGGCAGGTTCACAACTCAGAGACAGGGCAGGATGGGGGCTCAGGGAGCACTGAGACACATCACCCCACTTTACTGCTGGGAAAATGCGGTCCAGCAAGTGTGTACTCAGGACTGGAACCCAGGATTCCTGCCTGCCCAGCCCCACTAGCAGTGACTGTTCCAGCTGGGGCTGCCGACCACCCTGACCCTTCCCTCCATCCCTTGGGCTGCTCCTGCTCCCAGCTGCAGGCCTTGCCCACCAGATACACATCCCCTAGTCACAGGGACTGGCTCAGGGGACTGAGACCCAAACTCCGATACTGAGCTCTCTACAACTCTGACAACTCGGTTCAGAAAGATGCTCCTCATTCTCTATGATCTCTGAGTTACCCAGACATGAGCTCAGATCCAACCATGCCTGTAGCAGGAGTTTTAGGTGTGTACACTAACCCGTTACTGCTCTTGCTTATGTCAGTCATGAGGAGGATCACAACAGAACAAAATTCTGATTAAATTCAGTGCTCTTTCCCTTGTGTAAAATCTAGGCCCGTTAGTAACAAATCCAGACTGGATTCATAGCTCCCTGATGCTATAGGGACCCTCACTCTGTACAGGGGGACCTACATCTTACCTCGTTGGTGAAAATTAAATAGAAAGAGAGCAGGAAGGTCATGAGCCCCACAAACATGCCCCCCGAGGTTTCGCTCAGCCGCTCCAGGAAGCCTGGCTGGGGGTCTGACGTAATTTTGACATGTTCTCTCCTGGTACCTGTGGTAGAATACTGAGAGAAAAAACATTAAAAAATGGAATGGAAGTTGGCTTTCAAAAATAAGCTGACGGGCCAGTGATTTTGCTCAGTGGTTCTGCTGCCTGCCTCGCAAGCACAAGGACCTGAGTTCAATATTGGTACCAAAAAAAAAAAAAAAAAAAAAAAAAA